AGGATATTATGAACACGTTAAACTGACAGGCAGTCTCGAAGGCACTCCACTCATTAATGTTCTGTGCATAAAATTAAAACTTGAAATATATTTTTAAATCCATTTTGAATCATTTAAGCAATTCTCCCGCAAAGGAACTATTGTGCTGAAATAATATATTTGGAGCGAGGAATATGAAAGCTATTAAAATGTCTTAGACCCCCTGCCTTTCATGAGGAGAAGATCTGCAGCAGGTTCTGTAGGAAATACACCCACCCTCACTCCCCACCAAAAAAAAAAAAAAAAAACTACTTTGAAGTAACTGAGGAGTTTGACTTCAACCCACAGGGCCCCTGGAACACAGCGGGGTCTTCCCACTTCTGCCTCAGTGCTCACAGCGGAGCTGCAAGGACACACCCAACTAGCAGGTGCACCTGCTGATGGTGAGGGGTGCGGAGGAAGGCAGAGGCACAACCAGCCCCATGTGCCCTTGCCTTTCCCTGATGACCACACATGCTCAGGACTTGGACTGGCTCGAGTGGGCGCTGAGGACAGCAGCCCCAGCCCCTCGCTGGCTTCCCGTTTGCTTCTCAGGCACTGACTGCAGCCGGACCAAGAGCCCTCGGGTCCTGGATGGAGAGTTCGGTGTGAGGCACACGCCATTGTGGATAGTCACTAGAAACAGGCACTACAGGTCAAGGCTGTGGGCTCGGGGACCGGTGGCAGGGCCGCTGGCCTGGTGTGGGCACTGGCAGCACAGTCAGTGTGGGCAACACAATCAGTGTGGCCCCTTGACCAAGCTGTGCCGGACAGGCTGGGTTCTCCAGCAAGCACTGGCTCCTTTCTTCAATGCCCTAGGAACAGGGGCTCACAAGGCCCAGGATGGCACCCCTGCCACCAATCCTCCTCTCACCCCTGAATACCCACATGGCCCAGCACCTGCTAAGGACAAGAGGACAGGCAGTCCTGGCAGCAGGACACACACACTTCTTGCTTGCCTCTGTGCCTGAACATATGACACTCAGATTCATTTGTGAACGAATAGATAGGTAGGCAAATGAATGCCACCGGGCAAGGCATCAACTCCTACAGAACTGTTGGAGCAGGGCTCTCTAGCACTTGTCTGGTCAGAAACCTGAGGTTCTAGGAGACCGCCCTGTTGTCAGAGCCACCTGGGACCCCTGACCTGCAGCCACCTGGAACCCCTGACTGACCTGCAGCCTCCGGAGACACTGGCACCCATCGCCTCCAGGCTGCGCCCACTGAGAACCCCAGCTTCCCTTTAAGATGGAGATTGAATCCATCTCTTCACGTGGCCCAGGAGGAAGCCACAAAAATATCATCCAGCTGGGATCCAGGAGCTGCAGGGCTGCCAAATCAGAAGCAAGAGACACTCAGTCTCTGTGGGACGGGACCGGACCACAGAGCAGGCAGCCCAGCCTTCCCCTTCAAGCTAGAGCCTTTGGGACACCTGAGAAGCCCCACAGTGGCCAAGGACAGGGGCTCACAGTGGGGGGATCATGCAGCTTTTGAAAGATGAGCCAGAAGAGCTGTGGGGCCTTCCATGCCACAGCCAGCTCGACAGCCCCCAAAATCCCCAACTCGGGCATCCGCAGACAGGTGTGCCAGCAAAGTGCCTTCAGCGTCGTACCAGAGTGAGAACTGTGTTCCAGCAAACTCACCCTGGTTCCCATCAGCCTGATAAGCCAGCTGTCCCACGGGATCAGCGGTAAAATTTCCCGGTTCATCTTGTGTGTCTGAGCAGGAAATGGCAAACATGCAGCCGTGGCAGGACCAGGAACACCAGGCAGGGTGGAAATGCAGCCGCACCACCAGCCCACGGCACAGCTGTCAGCCAAGACCATCGAGTCCGGCTGAGCCAGGCCATGCCACAGGCTGATACAGCTGGCAACGTCCAGTCCCACTGGTGCCACTGCAGAGGGTCCCCGGACTCCACCCCACGGGCTCAGAATCACCCCGGGACTGTGCGTCCTCCCCACCTCACACGTGGGGAGCCTGACGCATGGTGGGAGTGTAACACAGGCACACTACAAGCGGCCATGGGAGGCACTCACCCCTGCTGGCGGGGGACAGAGAGAAGCCACGCTGTGTTCTGGCTGGGACTTGGGAGATGACATAGTCTCCCAAGGCCCAGGCGGGCCTTGCAGGTGATCCTGGTGCCTGGTCCCTGGAGACTGTGCCCACCTCGGTCAGGGTTTCACAGCGGTGTAGACATGGGCTAGCAACCTACCTAACTTCCCAGATTGCCGGTCTGCCTCTGCCAGCAAGGAACGGTCATGGCTCCTACACCATGGGGCCCCTGTGAGCTTGCCACACCGGGTCCTAGTTCAGTGCTTAGTGTGGTCCAGCGTGCCCTAAGCCAGGTGCAATTGAGCAAAGGTCTGCAGGTGAGCAGATGACCTGAGGCTGGACAGACCAGCTCCTGGAGGCAGCTCTGGGCCCCGGGAGCCTCAAGCCGGGAACGCTAAGACCGAGACAGGAGGCTTGGTGAGAGGCAGGGGGAGGGGACTCCGGTCTCACACAAGTCTGGAGGGAAGCCTGTGTGTGGGACGGCAGGGAGCCACACAGGTGCGGTCAGCAGGCCACATGGGGAGCGTGTTCCCAGGGAACTTTCCCCGGTGCTGCGGGAGGGATACGGTCCTTTTCCCCTGCAGTGAGACCCAGAGGATGACACGAATTGCTCCTGTCAGGTGTGTGGTGCTCAGACGGATCAGGAAGCGAGTGTAGACAGATCGGGAAGTGGAAGTGTGTTCTGACTAGAAGAACACAAGGCGTGCAAAATTGCTGGCAGCTTCCGGCTGCGGCCGTCGGCTGCGGCCTCTGCAGCCTGGCCTGCCCAGCCAGCCCTGGCACCTTGCGGTGGGTGCGGGCGAGGCTGTGACCACCTGTGCTGCAGAAAAGACGTGCTGGCTGCCAGAGACCACGTGCTGCACCAAGGCACTCTGGTTTCCAAAAAAAGGAGAAAGTCACAAAATAAAAAAGGAAGCTGTTTAAGCTTGAAACCTACCAAAGAAACAGTTGGCTGCCATTGTCGAAATGTTTTATAAAGCAACAGCAAAGCGAAAAAAAATTTTTTTTTAAATAAAAAAGAACCAGTCCCAGAGAACTGAGAGAGGGCCAAAAATATTAATACATGGGAACGCAACGAACCCTCCGTGAGCTCCACCACGTGCCGCCAGCCCTTGCTCTGCCTCTGTTCTTCCTGTTTGAAACCCACACTGAATCGCACAAGGGGAAGGAAATATGGGTGCCAGGTGGGCCCACGGAGTCCTTATTTCCAATATCAGAATGGAGAAGGCCCAGGGGTGGCATCTGACTTGGCAATTAAGGTGCGAGTTATTAAGGTGCGGCATCTGCAGCCCACTTGGATTTCATTGCTGGGGAGGTGCAGTAACGCACCCCCCCATGGGAGCACTGGGTTCCGAGCTCCTACCTTTGGTCTGGCCATGCCCTGACCGGGGAAGCAACTGAGGACGCCCTGCCTCCTTCCCTCCACCCCTCCCTTGAAAATAAATTTTACAAGAGAAAAGGGAAGTGCTTATCCCATCATTATCAGGAGCAGGTGTCTCGGACACCAAGCTCTGGCTGCCCCCTTGGCTTCAGCACCGGGCAGGGTGTGCTGCGGGCCCTGGCACTTCCTAAGTACCCTCTAGGGAGACCTGGTCCTGCCGGAGGCCACCTCGGATGAATCAACCCCTGAGCCGCCTCTGCCCAGCTCACAAAGCCTCAGCCACCCGGAGCGAGCAGACATGAGCTGGCGTCTTCACCAGGAGCCACCAAATCACCAGGCACCTGCTTCCACAGCCGCTCTGAAGCCCTGCAGGTGGGGGCTGGTGCCATCAGCTCCTCGCACAGATGGGGACATGGCTCAGAGAGGTCAAGCAAGCTGCCCAGGCTCACCAAGATGGCACACAGCAGAGCATGCACTTGAGTCCCTGTCAGACCTCAAGCCTACCCATCTCACCACAGTATTCCACCCAGGTCTATCTACAGGAAGCCCCAGGCTCAGGTTTCTCAGAATGGGCACAAAATGCCTATGCATTCAAACCCCAAACCACTCATCCAGCATACAGCCCCAGGCTCCTCTATCCTGAGGCTCGCTCTGCGTCACACTCTGAGACCACTGCCAGGAGCTGAGGTCACACCTGCACCCCTCCTGGAGAGAAGGCAGGCAATCATCCAGGTTCATCATGTCCAATTCTCAGCCACCAGGAGGTGGAGCACCTGTCATGGCTTGTAGCTGCTCAGCTAGAAGTGTTCTATCCTGCCCGGCAGGTCCCCTTGCCCTTCTCTTCCACACACCCCACGCCCAGGCCCGTTACAACATGATGAAGCCGAGAGCTCAAAGATTAAGTCAGCAAACTGACAGCACCCCAAAGCCCAGGATCCATGCAGGCGGTGTGTCAACTGTGGATCTTACTTAGGGTTCTTAGGGGATGGCTAAAACCAGAAGCCCACATGCCTAGCCACATTGGCATGGTGGCTGAAGGCAATGTCCCTCAGCTGCCAGTCACGCAGGCTCCCGGTGTGCTGGGGAGGCACCGCTGGCACCTGCAGAGCACAGGTGCAGCTGGGCACAGAGGGGAAGACCTGGGAGACCCCACATCCAACCAAAGTTACATGGTGGGAAAAACAAGGTTTGGTGGGAGAAGTTTCCAGGGCCAGTGTGGACAGAGGCAGCCCTTCCTGGTCTCTGGTGGTGGCTTCGAGGGTCTTTTCCCACACTCCGTGAAGCTTTGTACCCTTCCTTGCAGGAGTGTGTGCTGCTATTAAGGGTTTACATTGTGGCAGAGAGGGAGAAGGCCAGGTCTAGGGTATTTCCCCCAAGGTTCGCAGAACAACAGGTGAACCAGGAAGTGGGCAAAGGGTTCCACCCCTAGGCGAGGCCGGAGGGCCCCTCGGCGGCCCAACAAGGCCAGGCGCAGCGCCAAGGGCTCTGCGCGTCCCTCGTTGCTTGGCAACGGGTCTCCCAGACAACAAGAGGCGCGAGCCAGCGGGACTTTCTGATCCAGGAGACGCTAGGAGCCATGGCGCAGAAACTTCTCAGCACCGAAGCGGCTGAGCGCATGAACCTCGTGGCCCAGGACGAGATCTGGTAACGTCCGGGCGGGGAAGGCACTGGACGTGCGGCGGGGCTCACATGAAGGGGGCCCATTTGGCAGCCTCAGCTTCCCCAGAAGATGGTAGAGCGGTGGACCCGGGGTCCTGATGGTCAGAAGCTTGATTAGGGCGCGGGGCCACAGGACAGCTTTCTGCCTCTTCCCCCAGGCGTACCAGGAGGGCGAGAAAGGTGTTGCTTGGACACGGATGAGCTTCAGAAATAAACAAGGGGGGGATCTTGTTGTTTGCTCAGCTTCAGGGAGAAATGTGTGTGCACTGTCCCTTTTAGTTTTCTTGGATTTTTCTTAAAGTCATAGGAACTTTTAGTTTTAAAACAGGCTCGTTCTCTGCTCCAGGAGCGTCTAAGGGGCCTGCCGAGTGCTGGCACCACCCGCAGAGCTCTGAGAGTTTAGACAGTGGGGAGAGTGGCTGCCTTACAGGCACACACGCTTCAACCACAGCGAAACAAGGTCACTCCTTCTGATCAGCCCCTCTCCCGGCTGGCATCTGTCTCACCATTTCCTTGCAAACCAGTCTGAGTTCTGTCACATCTGTCCTTACGCAGGCTGTGTCACTAAGCAGCTTGTTTATATCATCCTGGAGATGGAAAGCCAGCATTGACAGGCATAGAATGCACAATTGTGAATTTCACAAAGTCCTGGTCTTTACCCAGAGAGTAGCATGGCAGGATCTGCTCCTGTGACCAGAAACGCCCACTCCTCCCCTCTACATCTGCTCTTACGGGTCTTTCAAGACCCAGGTCGGGCGGCCTCTCCCCTCCTTTGGGGACAGCCGGGCCTGCAAAGCCCACGGACTGTGCTGGCCATGTCCAGTGTGGTCACTGAGCACTTGAAATGCCTGCACTGGAGTGAGCTGCAAGTGTGAAGTACGCCCATAGATTTCAAAGCCGAGGTATTCGGACCAAAACCAAGACGTGAGGAAGATGGTTGGGAAAATCAGAGCTGGCTGCTCAGGACTCCCTTCTTCCATAGCAGCTTCCGGAAGAGGGGTGTTCCGTGAGTAGCTCCCACCCGTGCCTCACATCACGTTTGTACTGGGAAGAGGCACAGCGGGGCTGCTGGATGCTGGGGCAGAGGTGCAGGGCCAGCCGACTCCTGGGAGCCACAGGGTGGGGACAGGGGATGTGCAGGTGCTGATCCCCCGAGAGAAGAGACCAGATGCGCCCACAGGCTGGACTGTGACAGCCCAGCTCCTTGACAGGCCGCCGGCTCGGGGTAGGCTCAGGCCCTTGAGGCTCCTGAGGGAGGCCCCAGATGTCAGAGTCACCAGGATGCGGAGCGGCCCTGGCTCCACCCACAGAGCTGGCCGGACTCTCCCAGTCCCTGACATCCACCCGAGCCAAGTCAGAGTGCGTGAAGGCTGTGAGGTTCTTCCCCGTTTGCTCAAGCCTTTATTGAACATCACGCGGCCTTGGAACTTTCTTTTCCAGGCGATACCGTCTGAAAGCTGAATCTGAGGCACGGCACAACTGGGCCCAGAACTGGGGGTTCTTAACAACGCCCCTGGAAGAGGTGAGTGGATGAGTTGCCTGAACCCCCGTTCTGATGAGGTGTAGCATTGACAAGAAGAAAACGTGGGTGACGGCTGTGGCCCCTGGACCCAGGAGACTCCTTCCGCACAGCATTGAGCACCCACTGCATGCCGGACACGTGCCAGGCACTCTGTCACACCGGTAGCATGGCATCCACCAGGGGACATGTGAGGGTGCCAGGCTGGTCCCTCTGCTTCTGTGACCACATGGCATGAATCTTCCCATCTGTAGAATGGGCTGATGCCCCCAGGGGGTTTAGATGTAGATGGAGTGAGAAGCTGTGCAGCTCCCTCGCCAGGCTGACAGGGCACGAGTCCAGGAGGGACAGATCGGAGACACTGCTGCTGTCCTCAGAACTCCAGGACACAGATCCAGAGGTCTCCAGGGACCAGAGGGAGAAGGGCACCAGCATAGCTCACAGGGAGCAGTGGGGACTGGCCAGACACGTCCGCTCAAGCCAGGTGCCCTGGCCAGGTGCAGAGTCCAAAGACCACATGGAGTCCTCTGAGTCTCAAAAAAGCAGCTCCAGCTTGTAGGACACCAAGTGTTGGGGCGGGCGCGGGGAGAGCCAGCCCCGCAGACCATCCCGGGCCTGCACAAGATGAAGCCGCCTTGCCCAGTGGGGTGCGGGATCCGTGGGACCCTGCTCAGTGGGGTGCAGGAACCATGGGCCCTACTGTTCACAGTAAGCCCCGGGAGGTTCACACTGCCCCTCTGGCTGGGGAATTACACCATTTTTAATGAGCCCTTTTTAATTCTTAGAGAATTCTCCAATTTGACATTTTGTGCATAAAATGACTCCCTATTAATATGCACGAAAGGGTCTATATTAATGTTCCTCGTATGTAATTGCCTTGGTCTTTGAAAGAGTTCACAATTGCCTGAGAAATTAGAGGGCTGTGTCTCCTTTGGGGTCTGAAAGGCTGGTTCCGGGACCCTGCGGTGTCCCTGGATGGGAGTCACTCACATGGCTTGGCAGGGCAGCTGGGCAGGGGAGGGCAGCGGCGAGTCCAGCCGTGAGCTGAACCGCATAGGTAGGACTGCTGCCACCCGTTGTTGCATGCCTGCTTTTGTCACCTGTCACATGCACATTCCGAGTGCTGGTGGTCGGGATACGGTAACAGGAACGCCTCACCCAGCACAGGGGTTCCCTGAGGTCCAATGAAAAACTGTGAGGATTCTGGAATGGCTAGAATGGTAGCGATTCTTGAACTATCAAAACTGCTTGAGCAGGACCCTCGGAGCATGCCCCACATTGGGGACCTGGGATGGGTGGGAGGCTGGGTGGGGCTTCTCCCTTTGCTTCTCCTCTGACCCCAAATGCAGGGGAAAAAATGATGATATTAATGTGGAAACAATGGTCTTACCCACTTTCCTGTAGCCCTTGACCCTTTGTACCCTAATCAACTATGTAAGATTATAAAAAAATAAATAAATTTTGAAAAACATTTATGGGGATTCCTCCCAGTTGCTGCAGGGTGAAGCAGAAGCCGCTGCTCCCAAGGCCAAGGTCGAGCTCCCTGAACGCTTCCGCATCCGCCCCGGGACTCCCGTGCAGAAATACATCAAGGTTCGCAACGTCCTGTTGAGTCTGTCCAAGTGAGAGATACGCACTCCCAGCCATGACGCTGGGCCGCAGATGCACAGAGCCAGCTGGGTTGAGGGGCAGGGTTATACAAGGTGCCTCTTAAAAAGTGGAGGAAGAGGGCAAGATAAGTATTGAGGGGTGGGGCTATCCTGGAAGGCTTCCTGAGGAGGCGTCTTTGAGCTGAGCTCGGAGGGAGGGAACAGCATTCACTAAAAGCCTGAGATGGAGCAGGCTTTGGTGTATTTGGGGCACAGTAAGGGCTGCTGATGGGGCTGGAATGGAGACTGGGGCTGGGCAGGGGAGGAGTGGAGAGGTGGTCAGGGCCAGACCCCACTGGACCTCAAAGGTTGGAAGGAGAGGCAAGAACAGAAACCGAGTCGTGCCCACAGCAGATGCCACTGGAGCGTTCTATACAAGACCACAGGTAATGAGAGCTACCAGTTTTGGAAGCCAGTAGAACAGCTCTGGGCGGTGCGGCGGGAGTGACTGAGCATACCGGAGAGGACATACTTATTAAGATTGAAGTGTCTAAAGCTTGCCAGATATAATGTGAAAATTTTACAGACAGTTTGGATCAGTTTATTATCAAAGGAAGGAAATACGGGTTATCCTTGTGCACCTGGTCGCGTGACCGGGCACAGTCACACCCTGGGCCTTTGTGGTCATTCCCCACTCACCGGCTCACCCACAGCAACCTCTGCTCGTGCAGGGACCCTGCAGGGACCCTGCAGGGTGCGTGCCTGACACAGGTCACGGTCGTTCAGGCTGCATTTGGGCTGTGCCTACATGCTCGGACACATGAGCACCATGGACTCGGCCGAGCCATGCAGTCTGGGTGTGGAGTATAGTATGTGCCTTGTCCGGGTCTGTGTGAATGCCCAGTGGCTTTGTCAGATGTGTTCCCGTCATTAGCAGTACATGGCTGTATCCCACACTCCCGTGCCTTATCTGAGTGGGCAAGGGTGAGTCCTACAAGGTACCGGAGTTTGGCATCCTGGCTGACACGTTCCGGACCATTGTGAGTCTCAGCACGCCACTTGCTGGGGGCACTGCCTGCCCCATCTTCTGCATGCCAGCTATCTGTGCTCCCACACCTATCCCAGCGGCCACTGTGCACTAATTCTGCCTGCCCTCCCCAGGTCCTCCCATCCCCTCCAGTTCCAAAGACCACCCAGGGCTTCATCGGCTGGCGGTCAGGGGTGCCGGGCCTCAACAAGTGCCTGGAGCTGGACTATGAGATCAGGAGCTGCAAAGGGGCTTACGCCCGAGAGCTGGGCTGGCCCAAGCAAGGCATCCACTGAGTCCAGACACACAGTCCACCCAGGAGGACCGACTCCCCAGCGCCCTGGAGGACGTGTGTGCCCGTGAGATGTTGCAAAGAATCCAGAGGACACCTGACGCGTTTTTGATCCATCAGTGCCTCCCGTCTAGAATGTTCTCCACACCCCATGCTTTGCTAACAAGCTGAGTAAAGTGGATTCTCGGTCAGTCTTTTTCTCTGGTTTGTTTCAGTATCTTGGGAAGTTGTAGATTTTTAAAAACGTGATTTGATATTTTGGAGTATTTACCTTGCCCCTTTTTTGGGACTCTCAGTTGTATCCGTTCCCAGATCATCAAGCATGAGCCACTGACCAGGTGTCCCCTGTCCGCATAGCCCCAGGCAGCTCTTCAAGGGGAAGAGCACTGCGTAGGTGGGGTGGCTGCACTGTCTGCCTGCATCTGCACCCCGAGAATCCTCCCACAGTCCTGAGCCCTGGCCGCACCCCTTTGGCCAGCTTCTGCAGGGACCCCATGAACTCTGGGGGCACCAGGTGCCAGGGGGCAGATTTCTTCCTGCCTCTGGGCCATCTCCTGCAGGGTCTGAGCTCAGAGCAAAAGGGCCTCCCTTATTCCCCCGAGACCATCTGCAGCAGACGTCCCCAGGGGTCATTTGAACACGCAACCCGCCCACGCTCTGGGCACTTTTCAGAGCCAACTTCGCGGGGCTGAGGACAGAGCCACCCGCAGGTACATGGCCCCTCTGCCTCTCCAGTCCAGAGACAGGAAATTCCTGGTCTTTCACAGGCTGCCGCACACAGGAGCAAAGCCACAGTTGCCAGGAAATGTCACACTCGTTAGGACCTCAGGAGAGAGCATTATGGGTAGAGATTTGCTGAAATCCTAACCTCTGGCACCTGGAGAGGTCAAGTATGCTAGAAATGAGCTCACTGGAGGAGACTGGCAAGGAGGTCGTGCACAGAGCACCGTGACTTCCTACCGGCTGTGACCAACCCGGGGTGGAGGAGACACCTGCCTGAGGGAGGAGGCCCCGGGCATCGGAAGCAGAAATGGGAAGGATGTGTGTGGGGTGCTGGGGATGCCGAAAGCTGCCCCCGCCCCGTCCCAGGACCAGCAGAGGTCAGGAAGGCTTCTGTGGGGGCCCTGACTTTAGACTTCACCCCGCAAGGTGAGAAAGTGAGTGAAAGCCCCAGCCTCGGTGTCCTTGGCGGCACAGCCCTGGGAGCTGAATCCAGTCCCAAACACACTGCCCCATCTTCTGCCCCCTTGGCCACCTGCCTCTGGTCACGCTTTCAGCGACCACACCACATGGCCTCTTCCACTCCAGAGATGTCTCCCAGCAGCCGGCGGTGTGGAGCAAGGCAACTGAATGACCGAAGTTTGGCCAAGCCCGTCCCCACTTTAGCCTAGTGTTCTGGCGTGGCAGCGTCCCCTCAGTCAAGGCACCTGCCCTTGACAATGACCTTGAGCTTGACCTACTCTTTGTGCTCAGACGCCCGCCATGGAGAGCGGACAGGTCTCCAGCCCAGTGTGAGGGACGCGTTCCTGCCAAGCTGCAGACATGGGGCAGTTTGCACGTTGTCATGGGTGAGCATGTTCCTTGTCATTCAGAATCCCAGTAATTCTGGGCAGGTCAGCCAGGCAGTCCAACAGAAAGCTTCCCGGCCTGTCCTGACCCAGCTGGTGCATTCTGCTGCCCCACCCTTGCAGCGCCCACGCCGGAGTGGATGCTCCTGTGTTTAATTAACGCTCCCTCAACCACCTCAACAGACGTCTAAGCACGCTCGGCTCTCCTCAATGCACGGGAGTTAGAGGCCTCAGTCTAACCGACGCCAGAAAACCTCAGGCTGTGGGTAGATCTTTCATTCCCTGTCTCCAATAATGTATTCACCAACTAACCACAGAAGTGCTTTTATTTAAAGAAATGAAAACAAAGCAACAATTCTGCCAGGATCAGACTGCACAATTGTGAGCACAGCGCCTGACCCCCCCCACCCGAACCCCTTCTCTGGACTCTGAACCCCCTCTTTCTGCCCTCAACAATTTGAGCTGCACCCACGGGCTTTCCATGGAGCCCAGAGCGTGCCCAATGGCTGAGCCGAGAGCCCACGCGCATGGCCCTTGCGGGGAACGCCCACACGGATGGTCCTCGGGACCCCTCACCCTTGAGGGCTTCCAACTTGACATTTAATCTATGGAGGGCAACTGCTTTGGGGCCCATAAATGTCACCACATGCCATATAATACCACAACATATGACAGGTCCAGGGACTGGTGACCCTGCATATGCAGTGCCATTATCCATCACAGTGGTGTTCCACCCACTGGGCCCCGACCCACGCGGGATGCCCTGAGGTCGGGGACCCACAGCAAATCAGGAGTGCTTGAGCAGGATGGGGAGGGTGGGAGCAGAGTGAGCGAGGGCAAGACGCCGGCTCCCGGACACGGAGACACACCCTGGACTACATGTAGAGACCGCTCAGGGACGCTGGCGTTGAGGCTGCGACAGCCTGTCGGCTGCATGTGTCCTAAGCCCTCCAGCGAGCTCCAGCAGAAATGGACATTTGCTAGCCATTCAGCTCTGGAAATCATGTCTCCTTGGGCAGATCTGGGAACTAGGTCCCCCTTCTCACTTCGGCTAGTCCAACCACGCCAGCCTCTTCCCACACTGCACTTGGGTCAGCCCACACTGCTCAGCAGGGGCCAGGGCAGCAGCAGGAGGGAACAACCAGCAGGCCCTGGGACTTCATTCTTGGGGAGGCTCGGTCCTCAGGACACAAGGAGGCTGCAGCAGCCCCCGACTTTGCTAACTGATTGCATCAAGCAGCGTGGGGTGTCCAGGGGGAGATCCAAAGGCCGCCTGCCATGATTCTCTCCTTGTGTCTGTTATTCTGCCTTTTAAAGAAATAAGTCTTTAAAAAGTAAAATTAAATCCTTCAGCCTCCTTGCAGGTCATGAAGATTTTTTTTTCTTAAATATTTACTTATTTACTTGAAAGGCAGATGTACACACCCAGAGAGACAGGTCTCCCACCCTCTGGTTTACCCCTAGCTTGCCATGACAATTGGGACTGGGCTACGCCCAAGCCAGGAGCTTCATCCGGGTCTCCCACACAGGTGGTAGGGCTCCAAGCACTTGAGTCATCTTCTGCTGCTTTCCCCAGGCTGCCAGGGGGGAGCCGGAGCAGAAGTGGCTAGCCGGCACTTGAACCAGTGCCCACAGAGGATGCTGGCACCACAGGCGGCAGCTTTACCCGCTGTGCCTCAACGCCAACCCTCCCACCCCCCGAAACACATTGTCACAAAGTCCCTCATCGCCCCTTGTGCTTGGATGCGATGGTCAGCACCGTACTGCGACTTCCTGTGGGGCTTTTTGCCAAGACTACTTGGACATGCACTGGTCCCTGAGCCCTGCGAGGTCACGGCTGATGCGAAAACGAGGGAAAGCCTCAGAGAGTACAGGTGCCAGAGGACAGCCTGGGGTGTCCAGCCTGCCCACGGGCAGCACACGTGGGCACAGAAAGCAGAGAGGAGCACGGGGTCTCTCCTGAAGCCTGGCTGGGGACAGAAGGACACAGGGTTTCTTTCTGGAGTGCATGACAAGGTGATGGTTGCACATCATTCTACGTGCAGCCGTGGAGGTCATGACAGGGTCACTGCTAGGATCTCGGCCATCCGCCTTGCCAGCTGGCCAGGTGGCCGCACCCCCGATGCACCTGCCGATCGGAAGTTGTCTGGCCTCAGGAAAGCGGCTCCGGTGGAATCAGAGATAAAAATAAACCTGCAGAACGTTTGGCCAAAGCCGCCAGACGTGAAGAGAACATGCTGCATGCTTCCATTTATACAAGTGCACAAACATGACGCTGTGTGCTGGCAGGGACCGGGATCCGGGAGGGGCTGGTCACATGCAGCTGCTCCTGGCGGCCGCTGGCTTCACACACGTGTACAGTGTGGAAGACGCATGGCTCTGCCTGCACACCTGTGCACACCCTGTGTAACAGAAAACCTACAAACCCATCAAGTGTGCTTCATTCCCTGCCACGCATGGGCGAGAGGCCTGGCCTTGGCTTCGGGGTGCCCACACCTGAGGGCTGAGTCATGGGGGCAGGCCTGAGCATGCAGTGTGCAAATGCTTACCACAGCTTGGCTCCCATTCCAGCAGCAGGACCTAATTCCGCCGTGACCCCTGAGAACCACGAGGGGACTGAACACAGCTGTCACTGTCCACTCGGCCAGCCAGCCACCCAGGCATCAGGGGCCCCGAAGTCACATTGGCTCCTCCTGGTCAGACCGAGACCCTATGAGAAAATGGGGGACCACCCAGACCAAACCTGTCAGAGGGGCTCAGCGATGCAAGAGTAGAGAGCCAGCATTGGCCTGGGGCTCGGGAAGGTGCCCCGGGGCTTTCCTGGGAGAGTGGGGCAGTCCTGTGAGGGCAGGCTGAGGCCACTGCCCCTGGGCAGTCACTGCCCCACTCCAGGCTTGAGCCCCGGGCAGCCCTGAGCAGGCCTCTGGGTCCCTCGGCTCACTTCAGGAGCCACAGTCGAGGTACCCATTGGGCTGACCCTCAGGCGGCCCTGTGGCCTCAGCAGCCAGCAGCTCAGCGCGTGACCCAGAGCAAAGGGCAGTGAACCAGCCTCTCCTTCCAGCAAGTACCAGCCCCCGGAAATCCCCGGAGCCCTGAAGCTGGGCACTGGGCTGCCCACTTATACAGACCCTGCAGGTGTGAAGCCAGGAGGCTGGCCAAACAGGGCTAGGGGTCCCCTACCCCACCAAATCCCCTTCCAACACAACCCTCTGCTACCACCGCCCCTCCCCTCCCTGCCTTTTACAGATTTGTTTGTTTGGGAAGTCAGAGTTACAGAGAGAGAGAGACCGTCCACCTGCTGGCTCATGCTTCAGACGGCTGCCATGGCTGGCAGGAAGCCTGACCAAAGCCAGGAGTGTCATCGAGGTACCCTGTCTGGCAGGGGCCAAGCACATGGGTTGATTTTCCTGCAGGTTGTCATCGGGGACCAGGATCTGAAGTGGAGCAGGCAGTGGCTTTACTTGCTAAACCACAACGCAATCCTAAGTCCCTTAGGAAGTGAATACCAGGAGAGGTGCAGCAGTTAAGAAACGGGCACACTTGGCACCCGCAGCCCCTACCAGCTGCCTGGATTGATGTCCCAATCCTAGGTTCCTGCTAAAGGGCACCCTGGTAGGCAAC